GTTACAACTTTGCTAATGAGCAATTAGAACTTTCACTGATAAGACCAAAAGACGTTACTTTCATTATGATAATGACTATTACGTAGCCTATAAAGAGAAACACTCGCATTTGATTGGTCTGTTTTCAGACTATTTAAGTGTGTATAACTCTTATTTCTTCATCTTCATCTTCCTTTCTAAAGAGCACATTCCCAAAAATTAATCAACCATTATAAAATATAGAAATCTCTAACTTGGTATCAAAAGTATATAAACTCAGTCAAAACATATATGCAAAGAATCTACAGAACTCAAACTAATACGGAAAGTTTAAGATTTTGAAACCAAACACATAGGAGAAAGACAATTACTTGTAGAGAATAAGATAAAGGAGTAACCTTCGAGCAAGATTGATATCTTTGAAATCATCGAATGCACCTGGGATACAAAACCATAGAGAAATATAAATTTCTTAACAAATTAAACAAAAATCTAAACGACAATCATGATTCATGACAAATTGACATGAACTTACATAGAAAATCGAGAAAATGCCTATCAAATTATTCAATAAACTCTCAAGGATTTTTTGGTATGAAAAACAATGCGAGATAATTTGGATAAAAACGCACCCACCTTGCAAGTCAGATAGACCAACTTGTGTCACCCCAATGGTTGTTAGCCATTGAAAAAGCTCAATAACCTTGGAAACATATCGATTTTCTCCGATGTATACTACAAAAAATAAGCAACAGAGTTTCTCGACATTGATGGATCTGTACTTTTAATAATTTATAACGAAAGGGCATAGCTTTCAGCCTTTCAATTACATCAAAGACGCTAGAAAGGAAGTGTCATAAGCTCACATCAATGTGTATGAAACGCCATAGGAAATCAAGACCAAGATCATCATTAACATATAATCATCTATGAATTTGTGATGAACATAATTTCTCAACAGAAACGAAGTTATGACTTAGAGAATCAAATTACAATTCACGCTAATTTCACACTATCTAAACACGTTTTGTGGTAATGATATGAAAAACACTTTCCATCACCAACTTGTTCTTGATCACTTAGTTTCATAAGAATCTAGTGATCGTATAATTAAAATGGGATTAAAAACTCACTTGACCAATCCAAGAAGGCATATGTTGCACCGTACCGTTTCATTCAAATCCTTATATCTGAATCTGAAAAAGAGAAAACAATATTACATACGAGATCTAGACAAATAAAATCAGTTACAGCAGCGGATTATGGAGCATGAGTTAATCAGGGTATAAACAACCTAAAACCAGAATTAGAAAAAAAAAAGTCAGATCAAAGAGAAAATAAGC